TTTTTTAGAAGTTGGGGGCAGCTGCAGAACCCTGGCTGGTCTCCAGATTTGCTCCAACATGGATGGGTGTCAACGTATTGTACAATCTATATTCATTGAATACATCTTTAATATATACAGTATGTACAGATACATTGATATCACAACCCATTAACTGTATGACCTTACATATACATAAATTCCCTATTCCTGAATTAGTAACTTTATACAAATTATTAACTAAGAAATATGGGCATAGACATCGGATACAAAAACAACGAGAATTCACTTGTACTATGGCAGGGGCTGTACTGAGGGAATGGTGAAACACTTCATAAAAGCCAGTTCCCTCTACGGGGTCTAGGCACGTGGAATCCTCCTCCCACACTTGGGTAGTGCAGGTATATCCCAGGTTGGGTTGATGGACGCATGCTTGCAGATTTATAGGGACGTACGAATTATTAGCGTTAATATGTACCCATTTATGTTCTTCTATAGGGACTAGTAGGGACTGGTTAGCATATATCCCCAAAGCAACAAGAGGATATATGGTTTCTTGATTAGCTGATTTTAAAGTAAGAATCAAGGCCATGATCGTATCGTTGTGCTGGAAGTAAGTGAACGTCAATAATTGCCACCATTGGTGATGTATTTTCTCAAAATCATTGGCATCCTTGTAGATGATTTTTTTTCAATTCTAAAGGTAGCTGCTGGTTAAAACCATCTCTGATGATAGCTTTAGCTACCGTTATCAACCATTGCTGAGCTTCTACACATGCTAGGGCTTCTGAAATATTAGATTGGAGAATATCCAATGCTCCCATTATTCGCAGGTGGTCTTGCTCTTGAATTTTAAGCCAATACGGAAGAATTTTAGTGATGTCAAATGTTGTAGTTCCTAAAGCGTGAAATACAGAAGTCAGTGGTTCAGCGAGGGAGGCGGCATCATGACCTACCTGACCAATTCGGTTTGCTAGTATTTGTTGGTCTACTGTTTTAATATGCTTAATCCAGCTCCAACTCCTCCTAGCACCTTTGCCACTAAATCACATTTCTGCCTAGTAGACGAGTTGGAAGAAGGAGGGAGTACTCCTTGAACCCAGGCTCTCCATCCTACTAAAAGTGGCTCTGTATATAAGGCACATTGATTATATACTGATGTTATAGATAATTGTAGAGGCATGATAATCCTTTTGATTGAACATTGAGGATCTATCATTAAAGTTCTGGTTACGTCCTTTTTAATGGTTAGTGGTCCTACATGATAAATGGGAGGTTGCGTTACCACATGTATTTCCTTTGTATATTCCAACTCCAGCGGGCCTCTCACAGTCCATAGTCCAGAATGATTGACCATAACATTTATAGTATAATTAATTGCACACAATTCTTTGAATTCATTCATGTCGTTGTCCGATATACAATATCTTGAGGTAGTATGTTGTTTCAATGAAATGTTATAGCCCAACAAAGAGGAATTACAGGTTAATCTTAATATAGTAGTATTATGATTAGGAGGTTTTATGGACATATTTACAAAATCTATATGGGCCTGTTGATGGTACATTTTTATTAATATGTTCAATTTTCCGGGTTTAACTAAAGAAAGAGATAAGATGTCAAATATAACACATAGATAAAGGTCTTTATGGCAGTTGTTAAACATCACTTCAGGCATACTCCATGTACAATCATATCCTGGACGTATAGGTCCAAAACGCTGTACTGCGTTGTGGGTGGTAACAGTGTCAGGTAATATAACCGATTGAGTCTGAGAATACTCAGAAACATCTAGGTAGCAACGTTCCATTACCTTATAGGCTCTAAGGGTTACCCATTCCCAATTTTTATGATTGTTTGCCTCTCTTTTCCCTCTTCCTTGATGTCCGATTCTGAAAACTTTAACTGGTTTGCTAGTAGTCGCTCGAGATACCTTTGTTGTACTACTTTTTGTAGCGCTTTCTTGTTGTTTTCCTTGGTTTTGACGTCTTCTTGCAATTGGTGAGATTTTATTCCTCCATCGATATATTATTTGTGGGTTAACCTGACATCTTAGATATTCGTTCATCTTAATAGGAAAGAATTTACTTCCTTTCAGAGTTACATTGAAAGTTGATGATAGATCCCGTTTCCTCCGGCATCTGTAAATATCCTCTGGAAATGGCTTTGTAGGGGCTTCAGGTGGTGCCATTCCTCTTATTGGAGTGTTGATTCTTTCATTGACATATTCCTCATTTTCCTCTTCTTCAAGTCCTTGTTCTATATATTCCTTTTGTGTTTCCAATTCCTTCCATTGGTCATGCATGAAAGATAGTTTTCCGTGTGTCTTGCATATCCAGTATTAATTTTTCTTAATTATTAAACTTCTACAGGTCCATAAACTTAACCAAGTTATAATTATATACATCAGGAATTTTCCAGTAGTCTTCATATTTCTTTTGTTCAGCATCCTGTGGATGAAAACAAGACAATTCGTTTAGATCCTTATGGTGGTTTTTCATCACTCGTCCTATTACTTTCTGTTCTAGATGGATTAGTCAGATGTTTCCTTTCCATAATTTTAATTGTGAGCTATGAAACCACTTTTGTATTTTACGTTTTCCGGTCTTCAATTTTAGTTGATAAGTTGTTGGACTGGCTTTATTGATGACAGTTACTGGTCCAACCCATCTTGGGCTCAACGGATGGTTCTTTTCAGAAAAATACTTAAAGAGAACTTGATCCTCTATGTTCCACATCTTATGAATGTTTCCTTTTAAATTAACCGTCACTGCTCTTTGCACCTCTGATATGGTATTTAACACTGATTTTATGTAATTGTCCGTCACAGCTCTAGGTCTATACTCGTCCGGTGGCACCCCTCCTGGTATCCACCATTGCTCAGGTGTTACCATAGGTCTTCCGAAAAGTGCTTCATACGGGGTGAATCCATGGACGCTCACTGTGGATCTGATTGCCATCAGGATGAGAGGTAGATGTCTGTCCCAGTTCTTTCCTGATGAATCAATTACCTTCCTTAGGGCAGTTTTT